ATTACCAGCTTTCAGGTGTCTGGTCCGCGCTCTGTGCTGCTATGCAGGTACACTGGCCATCTCATTGCCAACTCAGCTTTGGATCAAGAAGATCAAAGACTTGGGGTCAGATCCCTCATTCGTCAAGTGAACAGCCTAATGAGCAGGCTGTTCACAACGTAAGTATGGATTTCTCATGTTAACCAGAAATCCCCCTTTGTACTGGAAATAACCACTGCTTTTAGCAGAACAAACTTTCCATGAGCCTACCTGTTCCCATAAACAGTTTCAATTTGGAAAAAAATCAGCTTTTTTCTGACTTAAAACATTTGTCCAGTAACTTTGCCCTCTTTTCTCCTGTTAGCTCCTAGGTGGATACTTGGCTTTTTAGTCTCTTAGATGAATGCCTAGGCTCAGCTAGTAACAGGCATGACATGCTCTGTCATGTTCTTACAGAGTAGAAATGCTCTGTAACTACCGTTGGAAAAGGTTGGGATCTTCCAGGTGGTTTTCCCTACCTCATAATAGTTGGATGAATCATTTCCTGGAGGAGTCTGCCTCTGTCTTTCCACTACTCAGGGAGCCTATGTGATTACCTGAGCCCAGGCACGGCTAAAATTAGGGGATCACCTTCAAATTAAATACTAACGAGCAGGGCAGCACGAGATCTAAAGTCACTTCATTTGTGATGGAAAATACTTGCAAAATTGTAAAACCAGGCTATTTCTGATTCAGTCAGCTTCCATCTGATAATCTACAGGTACAGAGAGGTATTTTTAAAGACAGAAAGACGGCTAGGACCACTAATCTTTTTTTTTTTTTTTTTTTTTTTTCCTCTTTGATGGCTTTTATGCAATTATGATCTTAAAAAAAAAAAGTCCTAGTTACTGACAGTAATACCTTGAAAAATCCAAAATAGCTTCTCAGATGAGTCAGCCCAAAATCACAGCGCTATTAAATCCCATGCTTTTGATTGGGCCCAATTCAGAAATGTTTAGACCAGATTCTGATACAATTACTAATGTCAAGTAGCACTTCCACGAATAATCATGCTGGCTGCAATTCAGATGAAATGCTATTTTTAACTGTTCATAAATCAAACAGAAGAAAAGAAAACTGAAAGAAAAAAAGAAAACTGACCACAAACAGGTCTTTTAATGAATTAGTAATGTTCTATTTCAATTTAAAAATTTCTGATTTCCCTCACTGACTGTTATTTCATGCCTGTTCTTTTCTGGACTCTCTTATAATGCTGGTAGCCTACTGTTCTGGTGACCGTGACCCAAGCTTAAATGCTGAATTAGAAGCCTCACATAATCAAACAAAAAAGTTTACCTGACCTTGGTCAGCATTCTAATAGGGTTGGGTTTTGGTGGGTTTTTTGTTTTTGTTTTTGTTTTTGTGTTGTTGTTGTTGTTGTTGTTGTTGTTTTTTCATTTCTGTGAAATAAAAAACATTGCAATGTGTCTAAAGCATGACCTGGTGAGGGTCTCAGCAATCATAACTCCAGCTGGCTTCTACAACAATGTAGGTGGTCAGCAGACCCCAGCTTCAGGTTTTGAAAGCTATTTACTTTATCCACACAAAGACGACTATTCATTAACACCTTTTAGCACAACAAGTGTCAAAGCAGGAATAAACCCTTCAGTATTTCTTATAACAGCATTACTCATACTGCCTTGTCTAATAGATTTGTGCTGTCCCCCTAAAATCAGTGCTAGTAGGGAACAGGTTGTGCAGAAGAAGCTGACCACTTTGTGATTTAGTCAGGACTTAGTTTTACCACTGAAATTCACATTGGGCTACATCTTTTTTGAGAGCAAACTGACTAATTTCCACCATGGCCTTTTGGGTAGTTGGTTACTGCTCAAGAGAAACAGAACAGAAGAAAAAGTCCCTGCGATAGGTCAAGTTATTTGCTGGTAAATCAGTGAAGCTGTACTGAACTGCATCAGTGGTCAACTTGTCCAAGAACAACGCCTGTTTTCAATTCCCCTTTGAACATTACATATCATTTCTCATGAAACAGAAACCTATTTACCAAGAAACCTTTCCAAATGCATCAGTATACCATGATATTATTTACTTTTTGTTTGTTTTTCTTAACAAGGGAATTGTTCCCTTCAGTCACTGGGGTGTCTTACGGCACAGTCACAAACTGCAGATTGAAATGTGCCCTAAATGCAGGTGTGACAGAGAAAGCTCTTAAGCATCTACTACAATGATAAACAACTTACCACAAAAAAAACCCCAAAACCCCAACAAAAAAAACCCCAAACAAACCGAACCCCAAAACCCACCAAAAAAAACCACCTTCCAACAAAACAAAAAAAAAAAAAGGCAGAAGGAATTTAATTTACAATGCACTTTGTGTATATATTCCTTTGGTTCCACATTCACATTTTCTAGCCTGGTACATTATAATCATGGAGCTGCTAGATCTGATTGTATTACCTTGGTGCATTGGGGAAAAAACCTCTTTGTAAATGTGGGAGCTATACTGCAAAAACTTCCTCCTGCATGCATGACAGCCAAGCCTATTGATTTCAGGCTTGAGTACAGATTTTTTTACAAATCCACTGCTTGTCCACACCAACATATACATTAAAATTCACATAAAATTATTAGATATGTTTTGGATGGATTCTCTTCAGTAAACCGGGAATTTCTTCTGTACTGTGGGCCAGTAAGTCTAGTACCATGCATTCAAATAGCAGTAATTTTGTAGCTACTTTTACACAAGAATTCTCAATTATTGGGACATTCAATTTTAGGACAAAAAAATATTTTGCTTAGCTTTGAATGCTGGTTACAGCACTGCTTGGCTCGACATAAAGAAAATACAGCTTCCTCAGCATAAACTCAAGCAGGCAGGCATTCATAACATGAGTTTAAATGTATGTATCTGCCAAGCTGGGTTTCTAATGACCAGTCTGGCTAGCTGCGTATGCTTGAGCAAGAGAGCAAGCCTGGCTGCAGTCCCTTTGTAAGACCCCAGCTGTCTCCCCATGCTGGAGGGAACATGACCTCTGCAGATCCTCTTTATTTAACCCCTTTCACGTCTTCTGGCCCCACTGACCCACTGGCATGCATGGCTGGGTTTTTACTGTGCAGCTCTAGGGCTGACGCAGAAGAGATTTTCTATCACTGCCTTCAGCATTTGGGTACCCAGGACACACATGGAGATTCGAGTCTTTTGTGTACTACAACTGGGTGCTGCCAAGAGAGCATCTGACAAAGTCACAGACTGCCAGGTGTTTTTACTCTTCCAAGGGCTTTCCAAGGGTATATTTCTTGTTTATCTGCTCCTACGCTCCTCAAAACATATCCTCTCGGAGGTCACTACAAATAGCGATGTGACGCCTTGAAACAAAGGCAATGGGCAGCCTGATCCACCACCAATGTCAGCCCTGCTTTGAGCGAGGGGGTGGACGAGTGGAAACCAAGAGGTCCTGTCCAACCCGAATTAATTTAATTCTGTACATGCAATAGGGCTGTAAGAGTTTTATGACATCTGAAAACTGTATACAACAAAATACTAGCATGCCCTTCCTGATAGAAAAGAAATGCTGTATCTCAGATATTACGGTCAGAGGAAAAAGATACCTTAAAACTTGGGTTTGTTTTGTGGGTTTTTTCCCTAAGATGACAGTTAACATGTTTTGTTGGGCTTGGTTTGGTTTTACTCAGCTTTTAAACATCATTTGGTGGTAGTCCCCATAGCTCAGTTTAGATTTGTTCAGTTTAACGGTCTGTTTGAGCACCTCTTCACTTTTTTATTTCTAAGCAGCTCCTAACTGCATTTGGGGAGGGCATGACGCAGATCCCACCATTAATCAGAGTGGCTTCGCTGTAGTGCATGGCATTTTCCAGCTGCGATAATTGCTCCTACATGGTCACATGAAAAACAGGTTGCGGGCGTCCTTGGTGTCACGAGTTGCGATCAACCGCGCGTTGAGCAAGGTAGCTCATTCTCGCACGACCATCTGACAATACTCCTTTGAAACCTTTGCCAGCGGGCTGCGTCCGGGGAATTACGCTTGAGGACTTGGTGAAAACTTTTTCCTATTAGGGCCTGGGAGAGAGGAGTGTGCTGGGGCCAGGGGGTCTCTTTGGATGACCTTCTGTGAGACACAGAAAAGAATGTCCAAACAGATAGCAATTTTTGATGCTGAGAACACATACCAATGGAGGTAACAGGACTGGAGTGTTGCAAGGCATCTGGAGGGAAAAATACCCAAATAGCTGGCATTGCCTAGATGTTGCTTTCCCATCAACTGGCAATCTCTCCATGTCTATCAGGTTTTTCCCAGCAATACTTGCTAGCTGCCAGAGCTGTGACCCTACCTTGGCTTCACATTTCCTGGCCAAAGAATATTCCCTATTGACCCTAATCAAAGCTATTTTAAGATGATAACGAATTAACAAATCTCCCCAAGAAAAATGACCTATGGCTAATCTGGGTCACTCAACTCCGGGAAAACCGTGACCTCAGCAAACTTTCAGCAACTATTTCAAGAACATGCATTATCTTCATTGCCTTTGTTATCTGAAAAAGGGGGCTGAATCTGGAACATATTTGTTCAGGACACAACCTATGCTGGATGTATTTAGAAATGTCATAGTTTGAATTTAGATAGCTGGTGAGCTAACAAGGTAGGAACTTAACCCTTCCCTCTGCTCTTCCTCTTCATCTCACCTAATTTTCTTTCACGAGCATTACCTGGTCATTCTCCCAAATATTGTTGTATCTCTCTATTACAAGCCAATAAAGGCAACACTAGATAAATTTGCACAGTGTTTGCCCTTCAAAAATTCCATTTTAGTACTTTATAACCTGGTCATATCTTAGCTAACTAGACTGTTGTTTGCTTGCTTGCTTGTTTTTTGAGTAGACTGAAGTGATAACTGCATGAGGTTTAACTGCAATGATAAGTTTGGGTAAGAATATTGGAAGGTATTTAATAGAAGAATATTATAGGAAAACACTTTGTTTCCCTGCATAAATAAAACCCAATGTTAATGTCATCACAGTCAGAATCATTTGGACTTTCGGTTTATGTCACTTTGACTTGCAATTTTATGAGTGAACATTCACATGTCAAGTTTATGCATTTTTGCCAAATCCATGAGGAATGTGATCGCATTTAGCCTCTGAAAACTCTGCATGAGTATGTGCTGCACAGGAAGGCAGAGCAGATGAGATGGGGAGGACATCACCTGCAACTGCATCACCATTGTCCCCAGCCACCCTGCACTGGGAGCAGGGTCTCCTTCAATTCCCACTCAGAGCTCAAGGCTCAGCTGGTCGTGCCCTGGGAGAAGAGGAAAATACCCTGAGTTGAAGAGGGACTAGTGAGGAACTAGGAGAGATGAGGAATAAAAGGCAAACGGAGCAGGGATGCTCAGGGGGAAGGGAGAAGGGTGGATATAACCCTGGGCAAGCTTGAGTTTCAGCCCACAATGCCTTCTTTTCTACATTTCTTTGCTGCTAGGATGATGAGTGGGCTTCAAAACTGGCTTAAAGCTTCCAGTGATCCATCTAGAAGAGCACCACTTGCCACTGCAACCCTGCATACCATTCACAGCAGCGGAGAAGATCTGACAAACTGGGTTGATACTGATGTGGTCCTGCACCATGGAGGTTTGGGCAGTTCTGGTTATTTTAAGACAGCAAATTACAGAATGCTCTGGGAATGAATCAGGGCTGTGCACTGAATGAAGTGATGGGTTGTGTAATGCCCATCTTATTTCTTTTAAAAACTGGAAGGTGATCATGGTCAACCACAGTTTCAGACTGTGGCATCTGACTAGCACTGGTCTTATAGCATTTGCTTGTTTAAGCAATTATAATTTCTCGTGTCGCAGGGCACAACATAGAGTGCTGTTCACTAGCCTCGTTAAGAAATATATTGTGAAAGAATGAAAATACCAGATCTAATTTCTAAATGTTATTGTATGGACCAGAATAATTACAGCATAGTACCATGCTTTCTTCTGTCAACTGCATTAATTTTTGGCTACTGCTTTTAAGCAGTGCTGCCAAAAAAATGTTTAGATCCCAGGGACATTTGTAAGCCCTGCAGGGCTCCCTTACCTCATTCAATCATCTTTCTCACACATATAGAGATGCACATTTTTGCTGACTTCAGGGGCATTTGTATACCCAGCAAATCATTTCTGTCCATTCCCATCTGAGCAGCTCTGTTTTTATTTATAATAATCCTTGAATTTTCAAGGGAATATACTAACATTCAGCTAACCCTATTTTTCCTAACGCAGATTTAAAGGAAAATGAGAAATTTGAGTGCGCTAATATTTGGAATAGAAATCACTCTGAGAAGAAATAGCTTAGGATATTATTTACCTTATGGATTGATTTAAAAATAAATCTTCTGATGTAGCTGGGTTTTAAACCTGTGTTTTGGAGCAGGTTGTTGTTAAAAAAAATAAAATGCTGGCTTATTTGGGTGTTAAAAGCACTTATGTATATATGAATTGTTGTTATCTAAAATAATTAATTAAGTAAAATACCGTACGCATAACAGATGCCTGGTCAGATGAAAGTTACTTGACATGCTAATCTTAACACCCTTTAAAACAAATGGAAGAGAGTCCCTGGGACTTATGAACTCTGCAGACAGTTTCTGTTAACTGCCCATACACATGTAAGCAACACAAACATCCTGATCTCTGTAGTTCTCTACCAAATTTGATCATGCACACATATTGGAAGGCAAAAATCTTCATTGGCCAAGTTAGAAAAATCAACATATTAAAAAAAAAACCCTCTATGACACAAATCATGATGAAAAAGCCTAGCACGTTAGAAGCTGCACAGCCATTTAGAGCATGCTTTTGGCTTATCTCACCTCAGAAATCCAAAGACTAATGTTAACAAGTGATTCCGAGTATGTGTTTGGAGCATTACAGTATCTAAGACATGAAGCGCATCCAGTGAAATGATACTGCAAGCAGCCAGAGCAACGTGGTGTGAAGGTGCAGAGATGTTCACTGAGAGAAGAGGAGGTTTCTCACCTCAGCACTGCAACGAAATATGCAGGTCCTTACCTTCGGGGAAGCAATCTTCAGGCTCCATCAGCTCCTCAGCAAACTCAGGGATCTGCTCCAGCAGTTCTGCAGGATTTGTCAAATCCACTGTGCTGCCTTCGGAAAGACTGATTTCATCAAGCTTGTTGTCAACAAGAGCAAAGATGAGGAAAACAAATTGATCAATCGCCCCGGAGGAAGTAGCTGAGTTTTTATTCCACTAACCGATATCCCACCTAAAGCAACCACGACAGACATCGCCATGCACGTCACACGGTGCCCACTCCTCAAGTGACAGCTCTGCCTACGCTGTGGTGAGCTAACAGTTGACCCATCAACGAGAACAACAACAAAAAGTTAACACATAAAACTTACTTTTTAAAACAAAAGTGAAGCAAACCATAGAAAGATGGTGAATAGCCATTGAAAATTAATGGTAGGTAGAAGCTCAGAATGACAGAACGACTCATGATTTTAAGGCTTGTACGTCCTGAAGGCTCATACCTTCAGATGGGGGGGAACGAAAGTGGGACCTAGCTCCTGAAATGCTGAAGGATGAATTCTGATGACCTGTGTTGGGCTCCTGTCTCTGGGGCCTCATTCCTGAGGCTCCTCACCAACAGCTGATGGGTGAAATCCATGTCTTGTCGGTCAGGACCACGTTCTTCTCCCTGCTGCCACAGCTTCTCCTCCGAGATGAGCAGAAGTCCCTCTGTCACCAGGGTCTGATCACACGATGCTACAGGCATACGTGTGTGAGATGATTCTTCCACCTGCCTCATCCTGGGCCCCTCACCTTTTGGTCACACACTTCTGATCTCAAGGTGACGTAGGAGGAGGGACACATGGCTTTCGAAAGCCTTTCAGAGGCTCTATCACTTGCCTGAAGTATTTGACACCACCATCTTAGGCATGTTCAGCCTTTCTCAAATCCTTCACTGCAAAATGGGAACAAGAATATTCCTGCTCCTGAAGCATTCGTTGTCTTATCTATTCAGAGCAGGAACTGTCAAGTAGATCTGGGTAAAAATTTCTGGGGAATATATTATTTTTAAAAATTGCCATAGAGGCTATGCAAGAAATTGGATTAAATACAGCAAAGGAACTTGATAAAAACCTTATGTTGTAGTTGGAATTTTGAGTGAATTTTTGCTATTAAAAGAGTTATGATATGTGATTAAATAAGTAAGTCACCCAAACATGAAATAGAAATTTCATTTCAGGTTAAAACTTTCTTTTAACAGAATCAAAACATTTTATTTAGAAGAAAACAGGAATATTTTTTCTATATTTTATTTTACTAGTCAAAATAAAATATTTTTATTTTGTGTTAATCTAAAATTATATTTTACTTGATTATTCAGCTTGGCCACTAAAATGAAAGATGTAATATTTGCCCAGCCCTGCTCACAGTTTGCTTCTGACTGTATTAGAACACTGTCTGGCACAAGTGTACAACACTGAAACCAGTATCTTCTGTGAGTCCTATCAATGCAAAATATCTATAAGCAGGAATCAGGAGAGGTGGGTTATTTGTTAACTGTCTTATTCTGTTCTCTGAGTACCTACTGAAATATTTTTGTGCTTTATCTTGCAATACTATTGTCTCCATTTTAAAAAAAATGAGGACAATAATACTTACCCATGCTTTTAAACAACCTGTGAGATAGTTATATGAGAGATGACATGTACACATAAAATATTATTTTCATGAGGATGATGGTGATGGAGTTAGAGAATAGGTACAGCTTTATATATTTATTATTAATGTGAAAATGGGCCCTCTATTTTCCAGTATACACAGTCAATGCAAAATTTATAGCTGAATTCAGAGAAATGCTGGACCTGGGGTAAAATGGGCAAGATTGAACATTCCAGCAATGCTTGCAAGCGGGGATGGAAGCTACTTGTTTGCAATTAGCTGCGGCATCCAGAAGGTCATAGTCTTGGCTAGGGTTTTTAATGCTCTACTCTAAAGGACTGCAAACAATTGAGAAGAGACCTTTTAAGAAGAGAGTCAAAACAGAAAGCACAGGTCAAAGACATGGATAAAGCTTCTAAAAAATCCATATTCAGAATGCAGCGGTCGTACAGAGCCCATTTTCTACAGACTACCAGTGGTATATGATGGTGGAAAAAATGTCATACCAAGTTTTAGCACAGTCTGAACTTTCTGATACTGTTCATTAGTGAATGCATTTGTTATGAATGTTATGAATGTATTGAATGATCTGTTATGAAGACACCAAAACACAGATCACTGAAATAGTCCTAAATCATATACAGCTGTAGGATGTAGAAAATAGGGGTTCTAATGAGAAAAGAAGCCTTGTTGGATATAATTCTTACCACTAGACAGAAACGAAAGAAAACTGTGAGAACAATGTCAGCTTGATAGCATTGTCAATGAGAGCGCTGTATTTAGCAGAGACAGGTTAGGAAATTCACAGAACACAATAAGGTGTAATTATAACAGACTACAAGGAAAACATCTTAAAGAACTAAGAATTCTCGAGAGTTATTTATCAGGAGGAGTTTTCAGAAAATATTAGAATCCATCAGCGTCAAAGGGAGATGGGGAACATGCAAGACAAGACAGACAGGATTTCTTCTGAAAAGCCTTCAAAGAAGAAGAGACAGCGAACATGGATTCAGAAAACACTAGACAAAGGTTTGAGGGTCCAAACTGGGACTACAAAAAGAAGCAACCCTACATATGAGAGAGGAGGGAAAGATTAGGAAAGCTTGTAGGAAAGAAGCAAAGGTTACTCTGCCAGAAAGGTTAAAAGGATTAAGAAGGTTTTTCATGAACACAGTAATGGAAGGAAAAGAGCTGGAGACATAATAATAATTGATGAGGGAGATGTAACTAATCAAAATTCAGTTGGCTAAGAAAATAAACTCTTTCTGAAAGAATCCATCAATGGGATCAATAAAAAGAGAGGGGGGAGAGCCTGTTAGAATTATTGCAAATGTACATAGAGAAATATCTAGAAAGCCAGAAACATATGCAAATCAGCAGATGCAGACAAGGCACATTGTAGGGCATAAAGGGACCCAATACGCCAAGTTAACACACCATCAGCAATCAGTAGTGAATGCTCATGGAAAACTGGAAACAGCCCAGGAGAGCAGCAATAAGTAAACACAATACTGAGCTTAGAGAAGAGGAAAGGGAATAATCATGGGAATCACAGATCACTAAACACTTGCTGTAGCCTGTGATTAAAGTAAATTAAATAAAGACTCAGAGGAGAAACTGAGAGTGCTTTCTCGGAGTGAAATGTCACAGACATGTAAAAGCAGTGAGGTGGTTCTTCTGTATGCTAAAGGACTGTGCACAAATGGGGTGCAAAGAGGCCAAAAGAAGGAAAAAAGGACAAATACAAAATCTCCTCTTTCTTTCTTGGAATAAGGGAGTGGAGGAGGTGTACCAGGCAGAGACAACAGGATCCATCAGAAGCCGCTTTGGGACATCTCCCAGTAGTGCATATATTCATGCTGCAGAGGGTAGTTTTTAATGTGTTTCTGGGTGGGGTGGCTGTTTTAAGTACCCTGACAGGGTTTCCACACCCACTTCTTGTGTCTGCAAGAGCGGCAAATTGATCTGAATGGGTTTTTTCAAAACGCCTTTAGGAGTGCGATACTGAAATCTCATGGAAAGTTGATGTTTGCTCAAGGCTTAACTCTCTTATCTCCCTTCCTCTCTCCCTCACCTCTGAAGATCACAGCCTTAATCTTTCAAATTGACATATGATATATAAACCTTAAGAAAATACCTGGATGTCTATTACAGAAGTGTCTACTTTTAAAATAAATTGTAATTGGCTTGGATTCACCCATTGCTGCGTGGAGAAAAGCCATCCTAAATACCCAAATATAACACAAACTTTGTCTTCAGAGGAGGAGATCTGTAGGGATTAGAGTCGGCATTATCTTCACTAAAGATATAGAAGGGGTGCTGACCGATATAACCCTCATGTTAGCCGATAACTTTAAATTGGAGAGAGTATTGAAACTGAGGAAGCAGAAAGGAAAAGAGAAGTGAAACATAGAGAGAATATAGCAAAATGGGACTTGACTGAAAACAGTACAAATGAGAGAGTTCCAGGAAAATTTCAATGGAAATCCTGGAAACCTGGAGGAATATTAAAAAATTAGATGCGATTTTGTAGTAGGATATAACAATGCAGAAAACCTATATGAAAGCATCATGTCTAGATAATGAGATACTATTTCCTCTCTTTATGGTCCTGTGGAAGTTGTATTTGGAATATTGCACTTACTTCTTGGCAAAACAACTCCAAAAAGAAACAATTTAGGGAGTTGCAAAGAAAGAGGTAAAAAAAGTCAGATAAAGGGCACAGAGATCCTAATTTACAAGAAATAATGAAATGAAAGAACAGTGGTGTGTGACTTCAGGGGGTAAGCCAAAGACAAAAGGAAGCACACAACAGTCTATTAAATTAAGTGATATTAATTCATAAAAAGAAAATGATGGATAAAATTAGTAAAAGACAGTAATGAAATGGTACTTTTAAAAACATAAAAAGAAGGAAGAAAAAAAAAAAGAACTAGTTATTAAGGCAATATACCCAGCCATGAGATTTTTTCTAAGCAAGTGAATCATTCCCTTTGGTAAATGCAGAAGTCTAAGTTGCCTGATACATTTAAAGCTAGATTCCACAAAACTGTACAAAATATTTTATGAGGCAGTGTTTTGGCAGAGAAATAAACTAGTTTGTTCTCTGAGGTCTTAACCATCGTGACATCAATGATTTTACATCTATGGTTTCTTTCCGATGATTTATATAGGATGAATTTTTAATCGTATAACGTATCCTTTACTGACATCAACAGTGTTTTATTCACAACACATTCCATGCTTCCTGTTATTGACTGAATCACTCAAAGCCCTGCCTCTTGGGCATACCAAATCTGTTAAGTTACTTCCTCGCAGTTGCTGGCTTTATTTGGCTAGTCTCAAGTTCTTGGGACATTCATCAAAAAGATGATTAGCGTGTCCTTATGCGCCAGCACAAAGATTACTTTTGAATAGGAGGACTTTAAGTATGTAATGTCCATGCAAGATCTGGCCTTCAAAAATAGCATCCTTTGGGCTTTGCTCTTTCATGTTGGTATTCATAGCCTCATGTGAACTTCCGTTTGATTTCAAGTCATCCCTGGATTATTGCCATATTCCTCCACCTCTTTCTAAGCAGCCGCAAATAGAATCAATTATACTCTACTATAGAAAGGTGACATTTGTGTTCTAGGACCCTTTGAAAGTTGAGGGAGGAAATGGGGATTATTTCTTTATCACAATGTTGCTGAATATATCAGGGCTAGAATGTTCCTGTTTTATCATGACATTTCGTTATAGCACTAAAAAAGGATGTAGTTCTCCAGCCTCCACGTTAGGATCACAGGGTTTATTTATCTCAAAAAGGCATTTACACATGAAGGATACCTAATCCCCTGAGAGAAAAATTCCTGAAACTGTCTTCTAATTCCTCCTAGTTATAATACTTCATCTCATTATTTGAAAGTTTTGGGCTTCTTTGGTAAATATATATATACATTTTCCCTGAGACTGAAATATCAAATACTTGAGTCTCCTTCCTCTAAAGTTCAGGACCTTTTCTTTCTGAAGATGAAGTTCAATATGCCAAGAAGTATTCTGGCAAGAAGGATTGCTCCTTAAAGAAGCGACTCATGGCTAGAGGATTTCTGGTTACTGTGAGTGGAATTTGGCTCACCTAAATGTACAACTCATCTAGTTACTCTGGGCTCCCTTTGCAGCCAATGGAGAGAAAGAGGCACTTTTAGAAGATCATTCATCTGACCTAATTTAAATGTTGATTTCAGTTGGAGATGAAACACATTTACCTAACTATGTTGGCTCCAGATTCTCATTGACTATAAAGGGGCCTCAGATGACAAGTTCAGATGCAGATGTCTACATTTAGTTGAGTAAATTCCACCCTATATGACAATATGAATCAGCAGGCCTGGAGAAGATGAGCTGTGACTCTGTGATGGCTCTGTTTCCTGTTGTCCTGTCAAGATTTCTCCATGGAATCGCTCCTGCTGGGCACAAATTTGCCAGCAGTTTTATAGCAGAATTGGGAGAGGCGTGATGCTTGTTGATATTATGCCATCCTTTGCCTTTCGTTAATTCAGTCCCTCAAAAACACCCCTGGTTCTAATCTCAAGGAGCTATAGAGTTCCCCAAACTCTCAGGACATCACCCAAAACCTCCAGTTCCTGATTTCAAAGACAGGAATCCATCACACTCTAATAATAAAGGCAAATGTTATATCAATAAAACGCTAAATCTGAATGGGAAACCCCCCCAAGTCAGCAAGTAGGATACAGGGAATTTAAAGCCTGGAGTCACTCAGCGTATGTTACAAATACGTGTATTTTTGGTATTCATGTTTGTAAGGACAACATAATCGTAGAAATTGAAAAGAAATGTTAATGTGTACACATCGAGAAACAATGAGTGAGCTGCACTTTGGTCAACATCAGCTGGATGATACCAAGGCTTACTATTTAGTTAGTATCTTCATGTCAGCTACTTAAATTGTTGCACCTTTCTTGGGTCTATGAGCTAACAGGAAAAGAAATGGTAATCTGCAACAGATAACAGATGCCCTCCAGTGAACCCCAGGTACCGATCTGCCAAGTCAGCAGAGGCTATTCTTAGATTTTCCGCAGGAAAAAACACACATATTTGCTGCTAAAACATGTAACATTATAGACGATTTGGTGTTTTTTTCAAAGCCTCTGAAATCCCATATGAATTTATAATGCACATTTTCCAAGCTTTCCAATTATTTTTATAACATCAAAATCCTCTCTCTTCTTTACTAAGACTGTAATACCTACTATGTACTGTTGTTTTCCTACCACTTCACAAACCATACAAGCCATAAAGCCCACATAAATCCGTGACATGCACTACGGAGCTGGTGCAAGGAATTGCATGCAGTATCATGTAGGAAAGGTGTTTCTGTTACCTCTTTTTGCCCTACTGGAGGTGGTGGCTCAGCCTTCAACTGCTTATCCACGTGCAACTCACTTAACTCTTCACAAATCTCAGAGTTCTGACTCCGGACGCCTGGGCTTTGGCATCGCTGCCCCCTCAGCTGCAGCTGTTTTTCCTGCTGGAAATAATCCTAGATGGGTTTATTTTCCTTTTCTTTGATAACATGCTTATTTCTTAAGGAGAACTGCCCAGCTAGAAGACAAAATAGCCTGGACTATACTTGTCAGGGCACAATATCTTAAGGTAAATGGCAAGGAATGAGATAACACAAGCTTATGCTGCAATTTTTGAGCTTTAGCAACTGGATATATCAAGATATCTGGCTTTAGAAAAATGGAAATACAAATAGGCCAACTCTTTTTTCAGCTATTGTTGCTGGGGCAATCTCCATTTTGAGTCTGGTTTTGAGACACAAGTTGCCTCCAATGACCCAAGGCACACAGAAAGGAGCTTGTAGTTCAGTCAAACAACCGAGGGCTGTACTCTGAAGTTGCACGATCAGGCAGTGATACTCAGTGTTGCAGCTGGAGAAAGGCACAAGTGCAATACCCAACGCTGTGCTATGAGTCTGCTTGAAACAGTGTGGAGAAAAACGCGCTCAGAGGATACAAGATATACATTGAAAGGGAGGAAAACATAAAGTTCACAGAAAGAGATAAAAGGTAGCTTAGAGTAGATGTGGAGAAACTGCAGGTAAACACATAAACGTATGCAGCTCCTATTCAGCAAAACACTTAAGAATACTTTGCACCCACTGATGCCAACAGGACTTAACCGCAGGTTGAAAGGAGAGCACATCCTTAAGTACTTCGCTAAAAAGAGATGGACTTTGGAATCAGAGCAATAATTTTTTTTGCTGCAAATGCATCTGACTAGACCCAGTGCTTGCTAGTATGAGTGGTGCCATTAAATCCAGCCACTTCTTCCTGGGGTGATGATTATTGCTGCTGAGCTCTCTAGAAGTACTCCCAGGACTAACGGCAGAGGAGAGTATGTTTGTAGGGTTGGTCCCTACATCTGGAGGCCCAGGTTCTCTGCTGGTGTAAATCAATGTGGCTTTATCGATTCACCAAAGACAGGGATTTCTCTGAAAACTCCATAGCTCATCACAGCACTACCATCATTCATGCCATTACTAATGCTGCTACTAAAATATTAATAAAATTCTAGCCGGTTTCAAAGGGTTGTGCTGAATTGCTTACAGAGGGACTTCCATGCTGAGGAAAAAATTACAAGCATAACAGGATTTCAACAGTAATTATTTAAACCTATTTATCTTTCACTTGTCCACCTTTTTTTTTCCCTTGGCTTGACTGACATTCGACGTTATTCATGTATTAAGCGAGTTTCCCTTCCCCAGGGAGCCGCAGCCTACCTGCCTCAGTTCTAAAGCCACATCACCACAGGAAGTCCTTCAAGAAGTACCAGGAGCAGAAAAACACTTTATTCCAAATATAACTATCTGAAAGAACAGATGACACAAAGGAAGCAGTTGGTTAAGCAAATTGCTCTCCGTATAAATACTTTTGGACTGTCAGGTTTGTACCAGTCCTTTCAAATGTCGTTCTGTGTTTCTAGCAAATTATTTTAAAATCAAATTACTTGTTTCCTGCTTCAGAGGGCATGTGGTCTAAAATATATTCTAACTTTAATAAATTAAATTATATATGTCCAAGCCCATACCCTCTGCACAAGAATGTATTACATATAATTTCTAGGCACAGTTTAGCCCTGATCTTCATAGGCCAGAGATTGCTCCATAACCATTGAGTTACAGTTCCATTCCTGTCAAAAAGTAACACTCTTTAAGGTGCATCTTTGAAAATTGTGTGATATTCAGGGGAGAAGCTAATGTGGAAGGCACAGTATGCACAAGTAAGGCGCTCAGCCATAAAAGGGGATTTTTTTTAATGCAATGTGCATACAACTTAGTACCACGTAATCTTAATGGCATGATATTGGTTATAGCACTAAAACAACAGAAACAATTGTTTCATGTTAAAACTGCAATGCAATCTGAGGTGACGTCTCAAGTTCATTTATGCAGAAAGGTTGTGCACTCAGATTCATTAGAAACTATGTAGTGTATGAGAACAGACTGTGTAACTCAGTTGATCTGACGAATACTCAAGTTGTTAAGCAAATTATTGCACTAAGCTGAAGTCAAATGCCAAACTTACACCAATTCCCTATTTGCTAACCCCTCCGTGTGGGACCAAGGCTTAGCAACACTTTCCTAGAGACTAAACTCTAGGAAATGTGGACCCAGCTGCTTCCCAGAAATCATACTTGTACCAAGTATCCAATGAGTTAATATTAATTAAAACTGATGAAATATATCCTTGCAAATTATCCAATGGGGACAACATGCACATGTGCTCAGACAATGCTTTGGTTCATCATCGTGTGTTTTCAGACCTGTCCTGCAAATTCATAAGGTGGGAAAAAAAATCTCTGGCAGAAATAGGTTCTTCAGAAGAACCTGGTTGTATGGACTGATCCCAAAAGGAGTGATAGGGAATCAACTGACGTTTTGCAAACAACTGATGCCATCCCTGCTAAACCACTCTCATGGGATGCAGCCGTGTCATTTCCAGCACACAGCACCTGAAGATCAGCACAGCCCTGTCTGGGGAAAGGTGCCTTTGGTTTACATTGTTTAACTTCGGACTGTTTGCTTTTGTTCTGATTCCAGATGATTCGTTCTTCTGGCAGCAACGGCAGCAGGTTTATCTGCTGTAAAGCTCCCCAACGTGGGTGGTTTATATAATTTGTTTTTAATTTTTGTATCAAGTGCCATGTTGCCAAGGCAATACACACTATGTTAATATTTATTGATTCAGTTGTTTTCATAATTTATAAAGTAAAACCATTCAGCAATATAAAAACTTTGCACATGCAAACAGAGGGCTGGGAGCCCAGGGCAGACCTTGAGACCTCAGCTCCTTTAGAGCATAAACCAAAAGTTTTTTCACCTCTGCTCTGATCCGGGCCCTAAAAAGAGGTGATCTGCCAACCCTGTACCAGTAATTAGCACACAGAGGAGGATGGACCCAGTGTTGTCCCCTTGCATGCCGCAGGTCAGTTGTAGCACCAGAAAAACAGCAACCAGATTGAAAATAGAGCTTAATCTGGGTGACATCTCAAGTGTGTTTGTGCACGGACCCACATACTTGTTTGCTGACACAAATAAATACAAAGGCTCCACACTGCGTTCTGCCTCTGAAAAGCACAGATCGGCTAATTGTTTCAGGCTCAAATGGGGATTAGTGCAAATGCCGCTCTTTTGGAAAGAGGACTTGCTGTTGGCAAAACAAGACAAATACCTGTCATCAGCAAGGATTCGCTTTATTCCTTCCCCACGGAAATATCATTTTTTCCATCCTGTGTGAACAAATTTAGAAAGAGGATCCCAGGACACGCCTTTCAGATGGTGATCAGCTCAAATGGGTTCTCCTGATGCTTCACTCACTCCCTAGATCATGACCCTGGCTTGTAACATTTGTTCCCTGATTCCCTGGGCACGGCTGTTGTGGGAAAGAAAATGTGCAAAGCCTTTGATAGCAGGAAGCTTCCTCTCCCAAGCAGGTGGGGAGGCAAAAAATGGGAATTGGCTCTGGAGCCCTCCCCCCTTGCAACTGTCACTGCAGAGTCAGTAAGTGAGGATGAAGGATGTGGCAGGATATAGTTGATTTAAGTTATTTTATGAGGGGTATCCCCTGTCTCTGGTGGGACAGTGCAAATGCAGACTGCCCTTTGCTCAGTCCATGGTACAATGGGAAGCTTCAACTCTATGTGTCTTCTCTGCTCCCCACCAGGCTCATGTATCCCTCTGTCTCTTGGAAGACTAATTTTGAGACACTAATGGGAACTCAGGGATGTCCAGGTTCTGCCATCACTTTCCGGGAACTAGATGGTCAGGACATTTCCAGGTGCAGACTCAGAGCGGTGGAGGCTTGTTCTGATCCCCCCACGTACAACTCTGTACACACATGGCCATACAGGCGGGAACCTACTTTATCACGGGACACTGCCCGTCAGAGGAAACATCATCAGCTGACAAGGATGCTCGCAACACAAATATTGTTGCTTTAGCATGGAGGATTGATACAATGAAATTGAGCCTCCTTGACAAATGCAGCTCAATAGATCAGCAATTAGTAATTTAATAGATTACAATATATTTTAACCTGCAAAGCTTCCTATAGCCAGTTTTTGGACACCATAATAAGAGTCTGAAGAGCTTTTCATGTATAGTAAACTCAGTTCAGCAGTGTGGCACACATAGTTACGGGAGGACTATTTACTCTGTAAAGTAATTGTTGATGTTTGTGTTCCTCCTTGCAGACAGCTATGGATTTCATAAAATTACCGTGCCTGGTAGCAATTGGCATCCTTTCTCAGCAACAGTTTGTGTCTAGTAACTGGCACCCTTCCCCTGCAAAGAAGCCAAGAAGTAAATGATTGTGAAAACCGAACTATTTATATCCTACCTCTACATAAGTGGAGAAGCAAGCAGATTGCAATGCTGCTGAAATACGGCGAGCTTGCATTTCTGCCTCGGTGGCACCTGTTTGGTGTGTAAAGTAAATAGGAGACTACAGTCTGCAGAGCTGTCGGGCCAACAACTCTCAGATATGCTGTATTTAGTCTTTCTGAAAAGCCTTGAAAAATCTGAGCTAAAATGGGACAGAAATAAATAGCCACGAACCAGGGAAATGAATTGTGGTTTCTTATTACCAAAACCGGGTTGTTTATGATCTTGGTTCTCCTCTTTCACAAATAAATGTAAATCCTTGTAGTACCAATAAAATCCGTGGATTTGTCTTTCTGCACATTTAGCATGAGAAGAAAAATCACCAAATACATCAGGAAAATCCCCTTGCTTCCTTAATACGAGAAGGGGAAGATTAATATCACTTATTCTGCTAGGAATAAAAGAGGGCTGGTGTGCAGCTGGCAATTTTAAGTGTGCACATTTAAGAACCTCTCTAACCCGTTTCAAAGAATTGCTTCTGTAAAGCAGAGTTGCCACTGCTTGGTTTCAAGAGAAATCAGAGGAAAACCTGGAGTAATACCACACCATAGTGCTAGGATTACAGCTAAGACACAGAGAGG